CGTTCAACCAAGGTGAGATGATATTGCATTGTGGTTTGGATTTGCATTTCTTTGATGATTGGTGATACTGAACACTTTTTAATCTACCTATTGGCCATTTGTATGTCTTCTTTTGAGAAATTTCTGTTCAGATCTTTTGTCCATTTTTTTAAATTGTATTTATTTATTTTTAACTATTATTATTATTAGTTTTAGAAGCAGGTCATTGCTCTGTCACACAAGCTAAAGGGCAGTAGCATAATCACAGCTCACTGTCATCTCAAACTGCTGGGTTCAAGCAATCCTCCTACCTCAGCCTCTTCAGCAGCTCATTTCTCAATCAGATTTTTTGTTTGTTTATTATTGAGTCATTTGAGCTCTTTATACATTCTAGTTGTTAATTCTTAATCAGATGGATAGTTTGAAAATCGTTTTTTCCATTCTGTGGTTGGCTCTTCACTATGTTGATTGTTTTCTTTGCTTGAGGCTTTTTAGCTTGATATGATCACATTGTCTATTTTCCTTTTGTTGCCTGTGTTTTTGAGGTCATACGAAAAAAATTCTTTGTCCAGATCAATGTCCTGGAGCATTTCTCTTATGCTTTCTTTTAGTAGCTTCATAGTTTCAGATCTTACATTCAAGTCTTTAATCCATTTTGATTTCATTTTTGTGTACGGTAAGGGACAGGGGTTTAATTTTATCTTTCTGCATATAGTTATTCAGTTTTCCCAGGGTCATTTATTGAAAAGACTGTTCTTTGTCCAATGTACGTTCTTGATGCCTTTGTCAGAGAGGAATTGTTTATAAATGTGTAGATGTATGCCTGATTTCTCTATTCTGTTCCATTGGTCTGTGTGCCTGGTTTTATGCCAGTAGAAACTTTATATTTGCAATAATTAGTGCACAAAAGCTGAAACTATGAAATGGCAAAAGTGTCACTGATATAATTCATTATGCTTACTAAATGTGATAGCATATAACTAGGAAAAAAGAATGTAGTGCACACGGTATTAAAATAAAATACAATTCTTTTTAATTAATTTTTTATTATATTTTAAGTTCTGGGGTACATGTGCAGGTCGTGCAGGTTTGTTACACAGGAATACACGTGCCATGGTGGTTTGCTGCGTCCATCCCCCACCATCTACATTAAGTATTTCTCCTAATGTTATCCCTTCCCAATCCCTCCACCCCTGCTATCCCTTCCCTAGCCCCGCAACTGGCGACAGGCCCTGGGTGGATGATGTTCCCCTCCCTGTGTCCATGTGTTCTCATTGTTCAGCCCCACGTGTGAGTGAGAATATGAGGTGTTTGATTTTCTGTTCTTGTGTCAGTTTGCTGAGAATGATGGTTCAGTATACACAGAGCTCACAGTGGCCATCATTAGAATGTGAAAGCAGGGGAGGTAATCATCAAAAGTTGTACAGGTGACTTCAAAAGTAATCATTAGCATTTATAATTACTTTTGGTTTAATTTCTTAAACAAGAAGCTGGAGGCACAGGTGTTCATTATGTGCTTATTCTATATATATTATAAATATTTTATAAATATATTGTTTCTATTCAATATTTAATAAAGTAAATCAATATAACTAGAAAAGGTTAAAAAGGAATGCACACATATTTCAAATATTTTTGCACCATATTATACAAAACTTGCATTGTCCTGGGCCTGGCAAGGTGGTTCACACCTATAACCCTAGCACTTAAGGAGGCGGAGGCAAGAGGATGACTTGAGCTCCAGAGGTCAAGGCTGCAGTGAGCGGTGATCAGTTTCTTCTTAGGATGGGGCTTTGTCTTGGGGGAGGTTAATTTGGTGGGCTTGTAGGGTACAGACCATTCACAGCATTTGCTTTTTGCCATCGTCCCTCTCAGCTTCGAGTTGGGGCCCAGGAGGCCTTCTTCCAGGCTCAGCTACAGCTCTGACATTAACCTGCTGAGTTCTTTATGCCTAGTAGTAATCTCTGAATTTAGGAATGTATATGTTAGCACTTGTATTTCTAGGTTTTCCAGTTCCCAGGGTCATTAAAGATTTTTTCCCTTTCCTTTTGTTCTTCCAAAAAAGCTGGTGATTCGCTTGGGCCTTTGTGGTTTAACCTCACAAGAGGTTCATGATAACACCCTGTCACTTTAAAGTACAAGAATGATGTACTTTAAAGGAAAAGAGAAAACTGCATCGCAGTCCCATTCTCCAGTGTCCATGCAATGAATTGCTGAGCATTTGAGAAGCAGCACCAAGTGTATTACAGGCATGAGGTGAAACTGTTGATCTTTGACCTGTGATCAGAATTGAACCATTGTTCAATTTGACTTCTTTTTGCTTCAAAATATGTAGAATTTTGGTTGACAATTAATTTGCAAGACTAACTTTAAGAGTATAACAGTTTTGAAGAAAACATTCAGTGTTTTCCAAATGAAGGGACTTACAGAATGTTACAATGTAATTAATGTAATTTGTCTTTTGTTACCCAAATTGTTAACACCAGCTATTAAAATATATTTTAGTAGAAATGTTTAATTCATATTTTTTCCTCTACACTGTGGATCTTTAAGCCTTGGTGGACTAGAGCAACATCGTGCTGCCCAAAGGGCTAATCTAGGCAAACTAGTTCACATTTTAGTGGATTCACAGTTACTGTGTAATAAGACATTATTTCCCCTGCATAATGTACAACAGCATTGAAATGACACATTAAGCCTAGCATCACGTTGTATAGTATAGTCACTTACAAACCCTTCAAGGCTACTTAATCATTAATATTTGTTTGAAAGCAAATAACCAATTTATCTATTGAAACTACTTGAATGACAGCAAACAAGGAACGACAGATGGGTGTGTCAGCCATGGATATCATGTGGTCCCTGCAAGTGGTCTCCTATGATAAAACTGTGTTCTCAAATGCACTCTCTTCAGGGTCTTAATATTCTGTGTCTTCTCTCTGTATTTGTAAAATATTATGGCCCATTAATTTCCTATCTCTACACATTTGGTTTGCTTAAATAAACGCAGGATAAAAAAGAATACAATTATGTAGTGTAGAATAACATAGAATGCAAATTCCACGTGTTTCCTTATACTAGGCCTTACATGATTATTTAAGTGGGGGATATTGAATCAATCTTTCCAGGAGTTGATGTGGTTTGGGGACTTGTTCCTGTTTGAGGTACTTCCAAGGAACTACAGTTTTGATGCTGATCTAGTGTTACTTTGTGTTTGGGGTTGGACTGGCTTGCCAGATTTTCTCATTATCTGCTTATTCCTCAACTTTAAGTCTTCCTCTAAACTCTGTTCAGTCTCCCAGAAGACTCTGTTTTGATCTGTTACTCAACAACAGTTAATCTATTTGGGGTGGTAATAGGATGGGGAAGCATCCTCCATCATTCTGATGAAGTCTCAGTCTTAGGCTGACACTGTTTCTGGGTGTTCAGGGTTGGAGCCTTCTTAGTGATCCTGTCCCACCTTCAGGTATAGGTCTAAATCCAACACATATTTGTTTTTCCTTTTTTCTTTTTTCCTTTGTAAAGTTCAATGAGTTTCGCCAATGCCCTGAGAACAGTGCCATTTCTTTTATTTCCCTTTGTGTTATAAAGGATGGAGAGATTGTCAAACAAATGTAATTCTCTATGAAAAAAAATGTGTATCACTTTACCTTGATTGCAATGTTTTCTGTATATTACCTTAGTGATTTCTCAGGTTTTCTAACCATTACCTTCCTAAAATATTATTCAATATTCTAACTTGTAATACTATTTTAAGGAGTTGGCAATTTATATAAATAAGCCACTGTAATATAATCTTTGTGTGTTTCCATTCTTCTGCTTAAACTTGTCTCAGATTCTTCAACTTTGTTGCATCTAAGAAATTTTTTATTCTGTTTTATAGGATTATTTTGCATAAATACACCAACTTTATTTCGCCATCCTAGTGTTGGAGAATATTTTGGCTCTAATTTGGAGGTACTATAAAAATGGATCCAGTGAAAAATATTGTGTATATCTTGAAGTATATGTAGGCAATCAGTTGACTATATTTTAGAATTAGAACATCTAGCCCATAAAGAATGCTAATAGTTGGCTTGCCAAAAAAGGATTTACATTTACATTTCCCCAGCCATGAATAAATTTCATTTATTCTCTAATTTTAACAACATATGACATTGTGTCTCTAAATTTTGGTATGTTTTATGGGCGCCTATGGTACAACTGGTAGATTAACTCTTACTTTTAAAGACTAATGAAAGTGAGTACTTTTTAATATTTGGCCAGTTATTTATGAATCAAATTTTGTAAAGTGCATGTTCAGGTTTTTTACCCAAACTTCTATCAAATTCACTGTCTTTTATTAATTACATTTTAAGTATTTATCACACATCTATATTGTATTTTATTTTATGTATGTTGAGGTGAGTATCTTTCTCCACTATTGGTTTGCATTTCAATCCTTGTATCATGTTTTTTGAAACACAGAAGTCATCATTATTAAAATAAAGCAACTAATTTTTGTCCTATTTAAAAAATTCTTATGAGAATATTGTATCATGTTCCCTTTACCTTCAGAACTTCAATCTATCAGGAAATGACTGTGTATGTTTTCGATATTTGGTCACTTTTTTTCCAGTATTTAATTAATCCACCATTGGTCGGATCAACTCATGTATTTCAATGTAGAAGAGAACACTAATAATGTAGGATTATTTATATATGTGGTGAGAACTGCAAAATAAAACCCAGCATAGAGGGTCAAATAATATTACCTCAAAGGATGTATTAATACAATGAAACTTGATAGATAAGTGCAGTATGGTTAGATAAAGAAAAATATTTCCCAGTTATCAGAGCCTTCACTCTAAGTTTTTGCATGAAGCAAAGGATCCTAACTCTCTTCCATTGATTTTAACTCCATTCACACATGTCTGTTATCTATTCTTTCACTCAGGGACAGTCAGCAATAAAAAAAAGTATAATTTATGCCATAATCATAACTTTTCAAAAATTATTTAATAAAGAACCAATACATATACTTTTAGTGTTTTCATCATATTTAATAGTAACACAATAAATGAGTTTTGATAACATTAGAAGGCAATTTAAGGCATAAAATAGAACCCATTTGTCCTGTTTGACAAGGCACAAGGAAAAGGGCTTCCTGGGATAAAGGGATTCCTCCAGCATATGAACACAGTTCTGATTTCGCTCTGTTCAGAAGTGAATACAGCAAAAGACAGGCCTGAGGGGAGGTGAGAAGGAGCAATTAGGGATGGTGTATATAAGGGAACTTTGATTAACATCAACAAAGCTCACAGTTCTAGCTTCATAATCCAGGAATAATCCTACTGGACTGGTAGGTCTTGGGACATATTGCAGCATAAGTGGGGAGGTGGTAAAGACAGTGCAGTGAATGTCATTCTTAACACATCCAAGAAGAAAGAGTCCCTCTTCTCCATGTATATTGCCATTGTGAATCTCCTCTTTCCAGTACTCATTACAGACACCAAAAGCCCAATTCCAAGAATTCCCCACATGGGCCTCCCAGTAATATTTGCCAGAGGTGAAAGTCTGAGCACCCCATGCAAGAAAACTTTCAGATGCATTGATATGGGGCGCATCTTGACGGTGACATCCAATACACAGGCTTCCCAAATCTCCACATAGAAAGAGACGACTGTTGGCTTCTTCATGATGCAAAGTAATATCCACTGAAAAAAAAAAAAAAGCATAGACGTGTAAATAAGAAAAAAAATTGTTCTATTGAGAAGTTACTTTACCAGGAAATATAAAGTTATAAAGAGATTTTTGCTTGTAACTTCTAATGAAATATAGAGATGATTAATATTACCTACAAGACAAACAAAAACCCTAACCACGGATATGAATTTTTTTTAAAAAAAACTTACATATTGAGAGTCAAATGTGAGACTAACTTCTTTTAATCCAATTTTCAAAGCAAAATATACACATTATATTCCCTAAATCCTATTTTGTTATCAAGGTAATTATTTAGAAATGTTTCTTATTCTTAAAAATTAGTGCTATCATTTTGAAAGAATGTGAAGATTTTCAGTTACTCAAAAACCACTCTAGATAACTGATAAAAATCCCTATGTCCATGTTATATGTGGTAATTTAAAGCAGATTTCTTCAAAATCTTTTACCATTATTTCTGTGGTCCTCCATGCTAGCTCTGGGATGAAGCTGGATTTCAGACTTAACATATAGCTCTTCATATTGCAATTAAACTGAACTTAGTTTTGTTTGTAATTTTACTGTATTCACAAAATGATTTTTTATTTTTATACATTAACTCAAATTTTTGTAATATATGAATATATATCCATTTAAAAAATACAAATCCCCAAGAATCTACAGTAAATTATATTCCCCAAAATAACAGTTCTTAGCAGTTCAAATGAATAAAGAAATGTATAATTTTGTATTTAACATTAAATAACTCACCTTCATTCTAAGCACTGCTCCATTTGCTCCTTTTTAAAATTTGCTACCCTACTCCTTTTTCCCATTATATAACTCAGTGCGTAGGAGGCCAGAATGTGTTTGTTTCTCACTATCTTTCAAATCTGACTATATGTTAATGTTATAAATCTGACTATAAATACATACACAGGTACAAAAGGGTTGCATGACTGTATTGTTCACTTATGTTTATAAAGAAGACAAATATCTGATAAAGTGTGAAATACTACCTATGTGATCCTAACAACAAATAATATTTAGACAGTGGGAGTGCTGCCAACGGGTGGGGACTTACCTCGGAATTGGTTGAGCCTGTCCATCAGTCCAGTGATGGGCTCTGCACTGAGCTCTAGATTCACAGGCTGGGGCATGGGCAGTAGCACAGACTCACTCCTGCAAGGAGAAAGATGTGGTTGCAACATCTACAGCCAAAAAGTAAATAAAAACCACTATGTGTATTTAAAAGACATTTCATAAGAATCCTTTGAACCCACAAATTTGATTATTCAAAAATTATTACTTCCTTTTTGAAATGTATTCTTATTTACCGTTTCTGAATTTTAAAGCATGATGGAAGAGTTTGAAACAGAATTCAATCTGATTTTCCTTTCTTTTTTTTTTTCTTTTTTGTCCTAAATTCCTAAGGTTTCTTAGCCTTATGGTCTTGAAAGTATTGAGAAATGAAATTCTGAGTTCCACTTCTTGGCAGACTCCCCTGAAATCTTTGTCTGAAATAGCGGGATTCTGGGAAGACTGCTGCATCTGCGGCTTTCTTTCAAGATAAAGGATGCAAAACTTGTTCTAGGTAGGGAGATCTGCCTTTTAGCAACAAGCTTCCCTAGAGACTTACACAGTTCTAATTCTCCACAGTTTTTTCAATCTATTTTTCAGACTTTTTAATTGATATGTATATATGTATAAACAAGAAATCACCAACACTTCCTCACTGCTAAAATACTTCCCCCTCTTCTCTCCTGCTTCCTCTCGTGACTTTCTCACCACCCAGAAAACAAAACTTTATCTTTTACCTATGCAGGCTTTTAAGCGACAAAAAAGAAATCGGGAATAAACATGCTTGCTTTATTTCACTCTTCTTTTACGCGTTTATTTATTTTGTGGTTTGTCTTTTTTTGTGTGGGAATGAAAGTAGATCCAGAAAAATTAGTATCAACATCTTATTTATGCCACGACTTTAGTAGGGTTTGCTTTGATGTTTGTGGAAACTGAAAGAACATATGCTAAAATCTAGGTGCACACTCACCTGTGTAATATATCTCCAAAACCCTGTAAAAAAAAATAGAATAATTTAGTGCATTTCACAAGGCACATCTTTTACTAAGTTCATTGTGAGATTTGGAGTTAGTTTCTGAAGATGTTATTTCCCTATCACCCTCCCTTCTGGAAAGCATTTTCTGTTTCTTCTCTAATGAAGAACCCAGTCAGCGGTACTGTCATGAATTAATGTCCTGGGAAAGTCTGAGTCTTGAAGAAATTCCCTAAACAAGTCAAGGGAGAAGAGGCCCAGAGAGTCTATGCTCTGTGGTAACCAGGAAGAACCTCTACTCAGTCACCCTTCCCAGAACCTATCACCAAAATGAATGGACCCAAACATAATATTAATGCAAGCCTAGATTCCAGAAACTCCTGATCTTGCCAGGTCCCCAGAGTAACCTAAATGTAAACAAATCACTCACTATTTCACTATTTTATACATGTTCAATGATCCAAAATATATTATTGACTTAGATGGGGAATATTTATTGGGGATGTTACCTTGACCATTCCACAAAATTTTGTGGCTAGTGGATAAAGTAGGAGGTACCTTTGGTCTGGTAGCATCCCGTGGCGGGGCTATACTCTCCCAACAAAGCAGCATTAGTTATGGGAATGTGTTTTTGGAAACAAATCATGGAAATAAAAGTAGGGAGATGGATTTCAGCCATGAGAAAAATACCTATGCATGTGAATATTCAAAAACCTGAAATCACATTGTGAGTTTATACCTGAAGTAGCTCCACATCTGGTTTATGGCACATTTCCTTCAGCTCCTCATACATTCCTCTTAAAATCTCCCTCTTGTGAATCATTTTGGCTTTACTTTCAGTAAGTTGACAAAAAGTATCTTTGCCCTTCTTTTTCAGCATCTCCAAATTACGTTGTCCTTCTTCATGGAGAAATACAGGCATCTTCTGATATTCAGCTCTGATTGCTTCTAGTCTTAAACTCACATAATCCTGCAGTGACAATAGGTTATTCAAAACAGAAATGTGTTAACCATCTCTTATTATATCTCACTGATTCCTTTCGTCTCTTGAACATCCAATAGTTTAAAACCCAGTCTTGCCAGTTCTCAGAATGTACAAACTTTTGTTCATTTCCTTTCTTTCTACATAAAGATCAATATAGATATATCTGACAGATTACATTAAATTTGTTCAAGATAATGTGTTTCCTAAGACAGTCAGAAATTTAAAAAAATCCAAAATTTGGATTTCTCTATTCCAACCCATATTTATGGAAAAGTAATAACAGTTCATGCTTAAGAGTTGCAGTACTCAGCTATGTTTACTAGGAAAGAAATAGATATTTCTATTTCTGAGATATGCAACAAGTTGTTTAAACTCATTATATGTGAAATGACCTTAGACTAGCATGCCCAGCTAAATGCGTTTTATCCAGCAAAACCTATCGTAACAGGGCTACATTTAGGATCTGGCCCTCTTTGTCCGTCCGAATTCATTTCCTTCCATTCTTTTACTAACTCATCCCAATCTGAAACATAGACTTCCTTGTGGTCCCTCAGGCCTTCAAATATACACAACTTCAAAATTACTGTCTGTGCTGTTCTATCCAACTATAATTTTTTATATACGCATATATATAATGCATATATTTATACACTCATGTTTCGCATATATATCCATAGACACATTAGTGTTTCCCTTCCTCTTCAAAACTTTGTTTCAATTTGAATTTTTCAGTGAGGCTTTTTTCTGACCACCCTATTTAAAACTCAGACACTCATCTCCAGTTTCTGGCCACTATTGTCCTTTTCTAATTCCCTGCTTGACTATTCTTCAACAAAGAACCTACCACACTGTAACACATCACGTATTGCACGTATTTGCATGTTGACCATTTACCTCTCTCATTTGGATTGTATGATTTATGAGGACAGAGGTGCTTCATTTCTTTTTTATCAGTAACTTTTCTAATTTAATAATCGATATAGACTAGGTCTCATGAAATACTTTTCAACAAACTAATATTACTTATCATACCCTAAAAGTATACATCCACAAAGAGAAAATCATTTTTAATATTTTGGAAGTCCTCAGAGTTCTCCTTATATTTAGATACTAGTTCCCAATATTCTGGCATGTTTATATGTCTCCCTCAAGACACAAATCCACATTTGTTACCACTTTTCTCATCATATGTATTATTCAACATGAAATAGTTAAGATTCTTAATTTCATGGTTTCCCTAGATTTGCTCTGTCACTTTTTCTGCATCAAATTTTTCATATATTCCCAAATACTACTTGCATATCAACGTTCAGATTAGTGCTGACTGACACTCGGTCGGTTCGCTTGCGCTTTCCATGGCTGCCAAATAACTACTGTGAGCAGCATTAATCCCACCAGCACATATAGAATGCTGTGAGATGGCCCAGTGTCTCGTATCTGTTGGTGTATAGCTATAGGTTTGTATGGAAACAAACCAGCATGCTTTGGGTAACATCAGTGGTTTTGTTAGAAATCCTACCAAACAGCCATGCTATTCTGTATAAGAAATAAGGCCACTTTTTCTTAATGTTGTCTCCTTTTTTTTAAATTGAATCCCAGAAACGTTACTGTTTGATATCAAGCTCCTATTTTAAGAGCCACCCATTTGCCCACCGTAAGTTCCCAGAGAAGGTAGAGTTTATATTCTACTAACCTTCCAGCATCTGGCTCTGGTGGTTTCCATGTTCAAGTTTCCATGATTTTCACAAGCTTTTTCCCATAAAGACTGCATTTTCTTTAAAAGCTTTTCCTGTAAAAGAGCCATAAATTGAAGCATCAGTGAAGACAATAAAGTAACATACAGATGGTGACATAGGGAGGGGGTCCAGAATAAGAGACAAGCCCCTAGTAAACGGCATTTCTTCTGTTTTCCCCTTTTTTGGTCAAATCTCAGAAGTTTCCAGCTAAGAAAGACCAGAACAGGGATGATTAAAGAGACCCAGAGTTGCCTTTATCCCATCTCCAAGAAAACAGCCTCACAGGAACTTTATGTGTGCCTTAGAGAAACAGATCTTCAGAGACATCACCTACCCGGTATTCCTCAGCAGCCCATTCAATGGAACAGTGTATGTGATCCCGGTGCTCCTGAGAGTTGGAGCACAGCAAACAGAGCAGGCTCTTGTCCACTTCACAGAACATCTTCTTTGTCTGCCTGTGAATCTGACACATTTGCTCCTCAGATCTCAGGAATTGCCAGAGACTGACTTTTCTGGCAAGGGAAGCTAGGTTCTTCAAATTAATGTTAGTTTTGAGGTTTCTCTGCTGTGTTGTCTTTCTGCACTTAGAGCACTGAGCTAGAACTTGGATGTCTTGCCAGCTGAGACAGAAACAGGGCCTGCAAAAGCTGTGCCCACAGTCTAGGGTGACTGGGTCTATAAAGCAGTTCATGCAGATAGGGCAGGTGACTGTCCTCTGGAAGGCTTTCAAGAACCCAGAATCCATGTTTCTGAAGAATAAAGAGCAACATGTCATTTTGGGGTCTGGGTTGATGAAAAACTTCTGAACACATGGAGATATGTGATAGCTTTATTGTCTTCACAGTGTTGATTAAAGTACAACAAACTATTTCTTCCTTAACATAAATAAAATTCCCACGCACAAAGAGAATCTGCAGGCTTAATAGTAGATGTTACTGACTAGACGAGACACAGTCCCTTCTGCTAGTTTCTGTCTGTAACATAATACAAATCTACCGAATTACCCATTTTCTCAATGTGAATCTAGAAATTGGGTTTTGGTTCTAAGTGGTCTAGAATAAACAGTAGTTGTTCCTATTCTTCTTTCAAATAATGACTGAATGACTATGAGAGATTGGGGAAAAAAAAACACTACTTTGGACAAAGAAATGTGAAAAGATGGCCGCAGGGTTCTATGACTTATTTTTAGACAGGGACACAAAAGTGGGGCAGCAAACCACCATGGCACCTGTTTACATATGCAGCAATCCTGCATGTCCTACACATTTACCTCAGGACTTAAAATCAAAAATCAAAATGAAAACCAAAAAAAAAAACCAACCAACCAAATAAACAAAGAAAAAGACAGCAATTAAACCAATCTAGGTTTAGTAGAAGAGAAAAAGGAATAATTAAAAATATTGGGTCTTTTTATTTTCTTGTGGGTTAATTTCTCCTAGGGATATGCAAACTCTGGACTAACATACAGGAGATTTTTGTTAAACTCAAATAGGTATAATTATATTTCTATGGTGTGATGGTGAATTTTAGGTATCAGTATGACTCTATTAACCAGTATCTAGAGAACTGGTGAATCATTGCTTTGGGTGAGTATGTGAAGGTGTTCCCAGAGGACAGAGATATGTGAGTTGCTGAGCTGAGTGGGACCATCATCCCTCAATGTGGGTAGGCACCATCCAATCAGCTGGTAGCTCAGATAAAAGGAAAAGGGCCGAGAAAAGGGAATTTCCTTTGTCTTTCTCCCGAAGCTGGTTCTGAGGCTTTCAGCCTTGATCTCAGTCAGGATACAGGTATCCTTAGGATTCCAGCTTAAAGACAGTCTATATTGGAACAGCTGAGACTCCATAATCAAGAAACAGGTTTTCCTGATGAATTCCCTCTCCTGTAGAATCATGTGTAACTTGAGAACAGATATATGGTCTGAGAAATGTGTAAGGTGGTTTTACTTATTGAGATGGAGTCTCCTTCTGTAGCCCAGCTGGAGTGCAGTGGTACAATCTTGGCTCACTGCAACCTCCACCTCCTGGATCAAAGAGATTCCCTGCCTTAGCCTCTCTAGTAGCTGGAATTACAGGAACATGCCACTATGCCAGGGTAATCTTTGTATTATTATTTTTTTAGTAGAGACAGAGTTTTGCCATGTTGGCCAGGCTAGACTTGACCACCTGGCCTCACGTGATCCACCCACGCTGGGATTACAGGCATTGAGTCACTGAATCCAGCCAGGCAATTTTATTATTGTTTCAACATGTTAGAAGATACTTACACCTACCTAGATGGTATAGCCTGCTACACACCTATGGTATACAGTACAGCTGCTTCTTCCTAGGCTACAAAACTGTACAGTATATTGTGTACTGCATACTGTAGGCAACTGTAACAGTAACACAAGGGGTAATTATTCTGTATGTGAATATATTCAAATACAAAAAAGGTACAGTAAGTGTGCTGGCATTATAATCTTATGTGATTAGCATGTGTGGTTTTTGGTTGACTGAAATGGCTCATGAATGTATCTGTACATAGACACATATACATCCTATAGGTCTGTCTGTCTGGAGAGCCCTAATATATAAACTGTAATCTTTGTTTTGGCAATTTTAAGTTCTTTACTCTCCTTTCGTTGATAACACTGCTGAGTTTAAGTGAAAGAAATGAAAATCTCAGAATTGCAAATATTCTCCAGAGGTCATTGTTGTCATTATAAGGAATTTTTCATAGTTGAGTAAGATTAATACTCAAGTGAGATTGCAGCCACCATCACATATCAAATTATGTCTTATATATTTGTTTGGTCAAAAAATTGTGTTTTGAATTCTAAACTAGGATATTTTGGGGAACTTATTTTTTTCAGTTTCACTATTTTACATCGCTCATCATTACCTTACTAATTTAAGGTCATGTCTAAAGCTGAACATTATGAAAGCAAATCATTTACATGATTCATTAATGTCTTCTCAGTTCAACAATATTAATACATTCATTACATATATACACACACCTGTGTACGTGTATGTATTAATATGAACTCTACATATTCATTATGCATACATATCTATTGCAGCAAACACTAGGTATTTAATTTTTTTCAAAACTATTGAAGAATAATAGAAAAAAATAACAATTAGTATCCTCATAATTCATAAAACATACAGTAAGAATATGAGTTACAAATGGTATCATTGTATAGATTTAAGATAATATTTTTAACACTATTACTTTGTAAAGGAAATACATAAACCTAATCATCTTATTCTCAAGCTTTCTTAATACTCCACCCACTTAAAGAGTGGGTGTGCTCTTCACAGATTCCCATAAAGGACATAGAAGAGACAAGCTCAGTTTTTGAAGAAGAACAGCACTTAGAGAAAACTGCATTTTGCTGACCTCTGAAAGTCAGTACTCCTGTGAATGAGCTCCTGACCTCAAGGAGTACTTAACAGAATTGCTTTTGAAGAATCATTGTGGGAACCATTAAAGGAATTTAGTAGATCCTGTTGGGTATTTGTAGAAACTGAAAGAACACCTATTAAAACGCAGGTACATGTTCACCTGTGTAATAGGTCTCCAAACACCTGAAAAAAAAATTGGAAAGGCTTTGTGCTTTCTACAAGATTAATCTTCCACTAAGTTCGGTGTGAGATCTGGAGGCAGTTTCTGAAAATATTTTCCTGCCATTTTCCCTTCAGGAAACCATTCTCTCATGAAAAACCTGGTCTATCATATTGTCATGAATTAATGTCCTGGTAAAGTCTGAGTCGTGAAGACATTCTTTATACAAGTGAAGGGAGAAAAGCCCAGAGAGTCTATTTTCTGCAGTAATCATGAATAATCTACTCAGTCATCTTCCCTAGAAAAGTGAGTAGATGAAATATTTAGATTCCCAAAACTCCCAATCTTGCCACGTCTCCAAATTAACCTAGTGTAAATCAATCCCTATTTTATAAATGTTCAAAAAAACAAAATGTATTACTGACTTTAGATGGGGAATATTTATTGGGGCTGTTACCTTGACCATTCCACAACGTTTGGTTGCGGGTGGATAAATTAAGAGGGACCTTTGTCCTGGTGTAATTTCCAGCAGGGACTGTACCTACAGAGAACCAGCTCAGTCAGGAGACCCCCCAGGTGGGCTGAAGGTATCTGAGAGGCAGACACCCAGACTGTACAACTGCATGGATCTATCCTTGAGACCAACAGCCTGAGAGCCTGGGGTGCTGACAGCTCTCCAGGACTGCAGGCCTGGAGCACAGATTCACCCATGCAGGTATTTGCAATTACTCAGGTGATTCTCATTAATGCACAGGTGTTCTGTATTCACACATAACTCAAAAATACATCAGGTAGGCAGCTGTTACCCGCATACCACTAATTACAAACTAAAAGCATGCTCCACAAAGGAGCCATGGGGGCAGGGTAAACTTAATGTTCCTCAACATCTTCCCTCTACTTTGTTTCACAAAGTTAGCTAAGCAAGGAGAGCTCTATCTTGGTGAACCGTTTCTTGGAGGTTTCTGGATCCATACTTGCAAACTACACAAGGAGAAACAGAACAGATTAATAACATAATCGTAACAGTAATCATAGATTCTCCAAGTGTTTTCATCCAAATTTTGGGGCTGTCAATCTAACAGCAGCTTCCTTAAGCACCTCAGAACCTGACTAACTACCTGCTCTTAGATTTCTTCCTTAAGGGGTTGGGACCCAGAAATCTTTTGGGAAATAGGGCCGAGGTTGTTCATCTGTTACTAAGACTGGCTGAAAAGGGGCATCACGGGCCCTCTGAATCCCTCCTCTTTACATGCTGTCTGAAAGCCTTTCCAGGTGCTGTTTTATTCTCTCCCAATTATGTTCAGTCTCATTTTACTTTACATAGTTAGTAAAGTTAACCTGTAACTCTCCCACCACCAAAAGATATGAGGGGATTTAATACAGTTCTGAATCTAAAAAGTTTTCATTTCTTGTAAGCTTCTAATGAATAAAAATTAGGGCCTGATTTTCTATTATATTTTCCTTTCCAGACTTACCCGTTTTATGGCCATAGGTAGTTTCAAAGTTCTTTTATTCAGCTTTTAATACTGGCCATACTATTTTTGGTCATGGTTGTATTAGTCCTCATCTCTCCAGACAATAGTGTTGTCTGGAGTATATATAGTCTCAGTATATATAAATTCCAAATAATTGTAGTTCTTTATCCACCATCTGAATTTCATGTTACTACAAGAGGACTGACTGGTGCTATCAAATGCTAAGTATCCCCTTTGGGGACCAATAATAATTTCATAGGAATTGTTGCACAGCACCTCCTATCACCACACAGAATTTCCAGATTAATGTTTTTAACTTAGAGGACCATTCTTTATTTGCATTCAGATTTTGATGGCCAAAACACTGTTACTTTATTTCCAAAATTATTACAGAAAATACTAAGACCAGAGATCATTAAGGGAAGGAAAAATATGTGCCCAATGTGTGAAAGTTTCTTTTACTACGATTGCAACTCCAGGAATACTCACTTGAACCTTGACAACTGTCATCATGATTACCATAGCAGGCTCTGCTGCTTTCTTCAGCTTTTCCTCCGCTATTTGTGAAAGCTTATTTAATTTGACCCCAGGTCGGTAGTGATGTTTGGCGTGTTCCCCTTCTGGGAACAGTATTTCCCCTCGGTGTTAGTTTCACCACCTCTGCAACTGGGGCCAGGGGGTGGGGGGGGGGCGTGGGTCCTCTGCAGGTCTCCTTTTTGGAT